CCCTGATGGTGTTGCTGGGTTCCTCCATGGTGTTTCTGGGTTCCTCCAGTGCCCCGTACATTTGTGGTCGTGGGCCCCGGAGCATTGGGACCTCCTGTCCATTTTTTGGCAATGGAGCTCGATGCCTTTCTCCACGATATCGTGGGTAAACACTTGGTCCTTGTCTGTTTTTTGATAACGGAATACCCTCTATGGTGGTTTGAGAACGGCATTCATTAGCCCAATGTTTCCCTCTACGGCATTGTGGGCAAATACCCGGTATTCTATTCGTTTGATATCTAGCTTTGTTAAACCCTCCTCCTATGGGGCAACTCCTTTTAAAATGTCCTGTTTGATCACAATTATAGCATGTTTTTGGCCTGGCATCTAAAGCCTGTTGTACTGCTGCTAAGACTTGCCCTTGTTCATTAATGTCTCTACATAATTTAATATATGTGTTTAAATCTTCATGTCTCCATGGTCTAATGACCTCTCTGCAACAACGATTTGCTTGGTCATAAGCCAGTTGTTTTATAAATGGCATTGCTGTTCTGTATCCCCAAAAATTCTAGAAGCTGCTTGAATAAGCCTATCTACAAATTCAGCGTAAGGTTCATTAGTTCCTTGTATTACCTTAGATAATTGACCTTGTAAACCTCCATGCCCCTGTAAAGTTTTCCATGCCCTAACCGCATCTACAGCAATTTGTGCGTATATGCCAGGATCATATTCTATTTGTTGCCGTTGACCCTCATAAGGTCCTTTTCCTAACAACATATCTAGATTTCTTTGAGGGTAACCGGCTGCTGCATTTCGCCTAGCTGTCTCCCTGCAAAATTCCTCATTGGCAACCTTCCATAACAAATATTGTCCTCCATTTAGCACAGATTTACACATACTAGCCCAATCTGCTGGCCTCATGTCCAAGTTGGTAATGGATTCGACCATGCTTACAGTGAACGGTGCTTGAGGACCATAGGTTGTTACAGCCTCCTTTAACTGCTTCACTGTTTTGAAATCTAAAGCACGGTGAATTCGCTGCCATCCTGCCTGTTCAAGTACAGGGCATGCTAATCTTTGAGGTCCTGTATCAGGATCCCATCTATCAACTATGGGGTTTGAGGGCCACTCAGCTATCTCCATAGGGGGTGCTGTTGGTTGAATTACGCCCTCTGGTGATAGAACGGTGTTAGTAGCAGCCTCCTGTTGTAGCTTTTTCCCTAATAGCTGTTTCTCCTCTAAGCTTTCTTCCTTTAAATTTTCTTCCTCTGTCTGACTAGCTTGAGAGACCTTCTCTTTTGCTTGATCTAAAATGTCTTTCTCCATGGTCTGAACCTCTAACAATTTACTTAACACTCTTTCAGTTTGTTTTTTACTAATTTCTAATCTGTTATAAAGATAACGCAACCCAATAAGATAACACAAAACAAAACCGAAACAGAATGAAACAAAAACGGAACAAAAAATCGTTGTATCAATTTTCCTATTTTCTTGACATGTGCATTTGTGGTCTATTTCTATCTCTTCCTCAGGGGCGAACAACTTCAAACCTTGAGCCAACCATTTTTCCCAATCTGCCTGAGAAAATTCTAGGGATAGGCAGCTTGAAACAAACACAAAACAAATCAAAACAAGAACACATTGTTTTTTAAAATGGTCACCCATTCTCTCGCCTTCCCTTAGGGGCAAGCAATTTCACTTACCCCGAAGCTTCAGACGTTCCCCCGTACGGGCCACCAAATGCCGCAGTCTGGCTGGGCACAAATCACGAGCCACTGAAGCAGGAACAAACTTTATTTTTAAACTGCAGGAAAACACTTCACACAGCTCCCGGGGAATCCTCCCGAACGCCACGAGGCTTGTCCAGGAACCCCCAGCCGGAAATATCTCTCCCGGAAATCCCTCCTCCTGCACTTCCCCAACCAATGGGAACTCTCGGGGAATCCCCGGAAATCCCCACGAGAACTCCAAAATAGTGCGAGAACTCAAAAGTTGCGGCAGAGGCGGATAGTAATGCCTCGCCTGTCAATCAATACTGTTGGCAAAATGCCAGGGGCCATACAGACTCGGCCGTGGCTCTCAGCAAACCCCTTTATTTGTATAAACATGATATTATTGTACATCTTGTGACACATTTTCCCAGCTAAGAAAGATCATTCTTACCTAAGTTTTGATGATGAGAAAACTGAGTCTCAAAGAGAAATATCCTGCCCATGTTCTCTTTTTATTGTTGTTGTTGGTGGTGTGCAAATTTTATTTTTAAAGTGCTATTAAATAATGAATTGCTGAGTTCATTTAAGGACTTTTTTCTTATTAATGGGATTAAACTGGCTTAAAAAAGTCCTTTAAGAACCAATGCATCCTGGGTGAGTGGTCAAATGCATTCTCAGAACTGGGATGTTTTGATGTTTCAATTTCATCCCATTTTGCAGCTTCAGGTTTTGAAGTATCAAATTCCCGTATCATATCAAACTCAAACAGTGGCTGACTGCACTTCTGACTTTCTTTCATTTGTTCTTTAGTTAAGAAAAGATCAAATATAATTCCTTTAATATGCAAATCTTGGCATTTCCAGTTTTTAGACCAGGACTTACAAGGCCTCATTTTTACTTTTAGCTCATTAACAGAACCTCTTGATGAGGCTCTGATATCACCGGCTTCATCTTCAAATCTAAGTGCAGTTTTCAAGAAGGGCATCTCGTCAGTACCTTAAGCTACCATCCAGGCATTTCTCTAAGTTGACCACTTGGATCTTGTAGATTTGAGGGTTATACAGTTCAAAAAAATTTTTTCAACAGCATGTCCTTCAATATTATCCCTCAGGATAAAAGCAACACCAAGTCCTTTTACTGATGTCTGAATGCAAATCCCCAGAAACTGGCTGGTGATTCCATGGGCACTTGGGCTGGTTGTAGTAAAACGTAAAACTATGCTTCCAACATAGAACTGGAATGTGGAGCAAGCTCTTCTTCATTGTTACATATTTTTTCTCTCTATTGGAAATTTCAGGATTTGTTTTGGTCCATGGAGGAATGAATTCCAACTCAAGAATGCCAGGAGACAGGGGCAAGCACAGGGAGCAGGACCCTGGCGGCTCTGACGCTCTGACCCAGGTCAATTGCAGCCCCACAACCCCTGCAATGCAGGCTGCCATGTTGGCTTCCCAGGTTCTCTGAGCAAAGACCAAGAAGGTGAGGGGAACCCCAAACGAGAGAGTGAAATGATCACAAAGATATAGAAACCTCAATTACTAAAGAAGGTGAAATGAGGAAGGAATTTCAGTCAGGAAATTCTAAAATTTTGAGCATCTATTAATAAAATTTTTAATGTTTATGGGGAAGTTGCCATGAAATCCATAAATTTCCAGAAGTTTTGATTTAGAAGGTACATTTTGTGTTCTGAAGAGACATTTATATTTAGAAAGGAAGGGAGGGCAGGAGGGAAGGCACTGGAAATTTATTTATACAACTAATCATGGAGCATACTGGAAGAAATAATTCAGTCAGGTGAAACATAGGCGCCTTCATGACGTTCAACAAATCGAATTTTAAGGGACATTGTTATGGTTTAGGTTAGGTATCCCTTAAAAGCTCATGTGTGAGACAAGTCAAGAAAGTTTAGCAGTGGGATGATTGGGTTATGAGAGTTCTCACCTAATCAGGGCCTTAATGCTGGCTTGTCACTCCAGGCAGGTAGGGTGTGGCTGGGGGAGGTGGGTGACTGAGGTTGTGACTTGGGGGTTTATATTTTGTTTTGGTGAGGGGAGTGCGCTCTCTCTCTCTCTCTCTCTCTCTCTCTCTCTCTCCTCTCCCTGTGGCCATGTCCTGAGCTGTTTCCCCTTCTGCCAGGATGTTCTGCCTCTCTCATGCACAGAGCAATGGAGTTGGCTGTCTAAGGACTGAGACCTATGAGACTGTGACACATAAAATTCTCCTCCTCTAAATTGTTCTTGTCAAATCTTTTGTTCACAGCAAGAGAAAAGCTGTCTAAAACAGACCTTTGAAAGATATACCAAAGCTTAATTTTAAGTTATAAAGGACAGTAAAACTGTTTTATACATTTTTCTACCATTCTGTCGAAGAGAACACTATGCGAAGATATTGTTCTGGTCCAGAGTAATATCTCAGTAACAATAAAAATCACTTTGAGAACCTATATTATGTGACAGGCTTGTGTTAACTGTGTTATGTGAATTAGGTCCTTCAAACAATGTAATGTGTTATTCATAATTCCCAGAGAAATAAATAAATCTTGAGGCCTAAAAAGGTTGCTAAGTTCTCCAATGCCAGATTCCTCAAAAAACTAGGAATGGAACCACAATTTGACCCAGCTATCCCACTCCTTGGTACATATCCAAAGATTTTAAATCAGCATAGTACAAGTGATGCAGCCACATCAATGTTTACAGCAGCTCAATTCACAATAGCCAAGATGTGGAACAAACCTAGGTGACCTTCAACAGATGAACGGATAAAGAAAATCTTTGTGACATTTGCCAGTAAATGAATGGATCTGGAGATGATTACACTAAGTGAAATAAGCCAGTTCCCAAAAGGTAAAGGTCAAATGTTTTCTCTGATATGTGGAAGCTAACCCACAATAAGAGGGTGGGCAACAGAAGTTCAATAGATCAGATAAAGGGGAGTGAAAGGAAAAGGAAAGACAGTGGAATGAATATGGCATAACTTTCCTACGTAGCTACATGAATACACTACAGTGAACCCCACCATCATGTACATCCACAAGAATAAGGTCCTATTTAGAAGAAAGTGTATTCCATGCTTGTATAATTATATCAAAATGGATTCTATGTCATGTATAACTAAAAATAAACTGATAAAAATAATTTCTCCCATGTTGTAATAAGAAGCATTTAGTGCAGTCCTGATTCCAACATAGGTGGTGAATCAAGAACCCCTGCTCTTAAACATGCTCTCCTGCACTTGGAGAAAGATGGGCCTTGGGGTGAAGTGTCACATAAACACACAGGCACAATCAAATCATTAACAAACTGTCGCGACCCCTTGCCCGCAAGGAAGACGCAACTCCGGAATCTTCTTTCAACAGTTTATTCAGGCCCTTGATATTTCTTCTTCTCTCTCTCGGATGCCCCTCCCAGCCTTAATAAAGCATCCCAAGCCCCAATGCAAAGCTGCCGCGTGGAGCTTTCTCACAGGGTGGTGTACAGGGTGGTGAAAAATCATGTGCCAACTCTCCCAGATAAGGAGTTGTTTGTCACAGACCACAGCGGAGCCAGCGTCATCTTGTAATGGCGACCATAATCTGCAGAAAAGGCAGAAGCGGCTCACCACAACAAACCAGGAGATTTCAATATTAGGAAGTGGCTGTTTATTGAGAATACACAGAAACAACACTATGTGAGATCATCACAATTAGTGTACACTTAAGTGGAAGGCATTGCTTGTCTAAAAATAGATGCAATTGGGGCTTGGGTTAAAGTCTTTTACAAAAGGTGTTTACATCTGTTATTTCTTGAAGGATCTGAATGCAACTCTGAATGCCCTGTCTGAGGAAGTGTTGACAGGCAAGAGTCTTATTTTCCCCGTAAGTGGCTGGCCATGTATTTTATGTGTCTAATGAAGGCATCCACCATGTGATAGGCTTTCCAGAAAGAGATCAGCAGTCAGGGATGGCACAGCACATGGGGCGGGGGCAGGTGGAGATGACACAGGTGGGCCGATAGCAAGTGGTGTGGCAGGAGACATTGCCACAGACTGGACGCAGGCGGCAGCAGGTCTGGCAGCAGCAGGAGTCACAGGAGGGGCGGCAGCAGCTGGAGATGCAGCAGCAGGGGCGGCAGCAGCTGGAGCCACAGCAGCTGGACCCACCAGAGCAAGAGGGGCGGCAGCAGCTGGACACACAGCAGGGCCTGCAGCAGCTGGGGCGGCAGCAGGTGGTCCTGCAGCAGGTGGTCTGGCAGCACCTGGGCTGGCAGCAGCCATAGCCCTGGCCAGAGCAGCAGGAGCCACAAGAGGAGTTGCACATGGTGTCAGAGACTGGAGGTTCTGGGTGGGTTTCCAGGAGGGTGAAGTTCTGGAGTTTAGAAGTTCTCTCCTGCCACTGCCTCTTATATACTGCCCGCTTTCCTGTTGTTGATGTAGTTTCCTTGTTTTTTATTTCCTGAATAGCTAAGTAATTATCTGATTACATAATGATGTTTGTCTATTTAATGGCTTAATTTGTTAGGAACACAATTTTCTGTCGGGTAGTAACAAATTCTACCCATCTGTTTTTCCTTTTGACCCCACTTGTTGACATCTTCCAGACCACAGTCTCTTCAACTCCCCCACCGAGGGCTGGCACCTGCCGCTGTGTGGCTGGAATGACACTCTTCACTCTCTCCTCCTGAATCCCTTGTCACCATGGGAGTTGGTCAGTCACACTTTCAGTTGTGCATTTCTTCCACGGATGGAGAGGAAGCCCATCAGCTTCATATGTCATCTGCTGGGACCAGAGGTAAAGGCCCTCTAGGTGGGTCACTGTTCAGCAATGAGGAAGGGAACTGCTCCAGGTAGGTGTGATGCTGGTGACCTCTGCACCACTGGAATGGGTTTCTCTGGATGTTTCAGACTTCAGATCATGCTCTACAGCCTTCAATGCTGACAGGCAATTTCTCTGTGTGGTTAGTGTCACAGTTTCTTAAATTCCTGCTTTGAGGTCTTATATGTCTACATGTCTCTCCAGCTGCTCTCTTAAATTCTGGAACACACAGCCTCATTTTTATTTCTCCATTAATTTTCATTTCTTCAGTGGAAGAAAGTCTTTTGAATATTCATCTCTTCAGAACTTACTTCCAGAGCAACTTCTTACTTCTGAGAAACCCATGACACAAGTTTTTTGAATCAAACTAGAATATTAGTGAATTTTGGCAAATTTCACCTTATTGTATTATAATTTCACGTATCCTCTATTGAGTGGTAGTTTAACTTACACATGTATCAAAATGATCCAGAGGGCATGTGAAATACAGATTACAGGGCTAACTCCCAGAATTTCTGATTGTTGGGAGGAGGCTCAGGCCCTGCTTTTTAGCAAGTGCCCAAATGCTGTTAATACTAAAGACCCGCTGGGCACTGTGGTGCACACCTAAAATCCCAGTGACTCTGGAGGCGGAGGCAAGAGGATTGAGAGTTCAAAGCCGGCCTTATGAACTTAGCGAGGCACTCTTAACAACTCAGCGAGACCCTGTCTCTAAATAAAATGCAAGAAAGGGCTGGAGATGTGGTTCAGTGGTTAAGCACCCTTGGGGTCAATCCCGGGTACCAAAACAAACAAACAAACAAAAAAACCTGAAGATTCAAGGTCCAGGCTTAGACTACAGCTCACACTGTCCATTAAAGCTTTGCAATAAACCACCTAGATCAAGTTCCTGCCTTGTTTCTAAAATAAATTGGTTGAATAGATCATCTGTGAGGCACATATTGGTGTTAGAAATATGATTTAGAGTCTCCTCCCATAGAATTCAGTGTACGGGGAGGACCACACACACACATAATTGTAATAGTGTATGGTGAAGTAACATCAAAGAGCTCATGACAGTGTTATTTCATGAAAATAGTTTTGCTTAGAGCAAATTAGCTAACATGCAATTTGGTAAACATATTCCAAAATTAACATTTCTTGTCATTTTTAATGTTGTATGATTAAATAAAATTTACATACAGTGAAGTATACAACTTCTGAGTGTACTGCTGTTCTTGCTGTTTGTTTTTTTGTGGTACTGGGGATAGAATGCAGGACCAGGTGTCTGAGAGGCAAGTGCTCTGTCACTGAGCTACATTTCCAACTCCTAATGTGAACTATTTGGTTTTGATAAATGAATGCATCTGTGTAACTTTCCCACTGATCAAGATGGAGAACATTTTACATGACTCTAGAAGTCTCCCAAATGTCACTTTAGTAAGATCCACCAAAATAGAGGCAGGCCAGTGTTGTAATACTTTTTCTTCATGATTTAGTTTTGTTCTAGAATTGAAATAAATTATACGGAGGATCATTTCTTTTCTGTCTTTAGATTGGCATATGTCTGGGAGAGTTTCTGTGTTGGTGGATAACTCACCAGTTCATTCAAGCAATACCAATGAACACCAAGATTTCATTTTAATGATTCCTATCAAATTAGATCATACGGTCATCAACTGAACTGATTACCTAGGACTTACGGAGTTCCCAGAAATCAGGAATCTCTCAATACAAAGAGTAGGAAAGTCCAAGGAATACAGAGACAAATTTTTCATCCTACAATGACATCTTTAAATTAATTAGGACAATTTAAAGAGAAAACCCCTTGTGACATTTTTATCACATGAACATTCCTAGCAAACACTTGATTTACTTGTTCTTATTTTATGATTTATGTTTGCAAACCTAGAAAACAGGAAACGAAACAGTCAGGTGCCAAGGCCAGATTGCATGAAAAAATGTTTTGAAGACCACCGATGCTGAGATTAGGAACATGAGTGTCTTAGACTGGGTGCCCCCTGGAAAAGCCCATCATACAGAGGATTGAGAGCAAGTAGTTTACTTGGTAGATAAGGCCAGGAAACACTGTAGGGAATTTGGGAATTGATCCTGGCCAGTGAGAGAAGGCTGTAGAGAGTAACACAGGAGCAGAACACTCCTGGGAGCAGCTAAGGTCCAGTCCCACTGAGGACCTTTGGAGGACTGCAAGGACTCACTCAAGGGAAATTCAGTAGAGTATCTGTGCACCAACTCCCACTCACTGGGTGAATTCTGTTCCTAGAAGTTCTTAACCCTTCTGCCCAGAGCTTGCTCTGCATCCAAAGTTCTTAGGCAAGAGATACAGGTTTTGGTCTTGAAAGCATGTCTCTGCATCAGGAATGCTCACAGAACAGAGATTGAGCACCTCAAATTATTTGCTCTGGTCCCATTCCTTACAGATGAATTACAGAAAAATAGACAGTAAGAATGATAATTGAAGAGGAAAAATAAGGAGACACGATGCCCTTATTTTTGTATGGCTGCAAAATTCAGATTTATTTAAGATGCAAGAATATCTTCAGATAAGAAAACATGGCAGAGGACAAACATTTCCAGAGGGATGACATGGTAGTTGACAGGTTTTAGAGAAAATTCAAACTTGTGTTCAGTTGAGAGAGAGACAGTAACCTGTAGGGAAGAGGGGAGTAGTTTGCAGATCCAAATCGGTCTCGGCTGGGACTTGACCTCTCATGACTGGGCTCTCGCAGATAGACTACGTCAAGAATATTGGCTGAAGTAGGCAGGAGAGTGCAGGTTAGAGCACTCAGCAGCAAGATCCACTAGAGCAGGCGGGAGAGCGACAGGAGGGTTAGCAACAGTAGGGGCGGCAGCAGGTGGACACACAGCAGCTGGGGCGGCAGCAGGTGGTCTGGCAGCAAGTGGGACGACAACAGCAAGTGGGACGACAGCAGCAAGTGGGACGACAGCAGCAAGAGCCACAGCCACTGGAACCACAGCAGCTGGAGCCACCACAGCAGGGGCTACAGCAACTTGAGCCACAGCAGCTGGGGCTGCAGCAGGTTGTCCTGCAGCAGGTGGTCTGGAGGCAGGTGGGGTGGCAGCAGCTGGAGCCACAGCCACTGCACCCACCACAGCAGGACCCATAGCAGCTGGGGCGGCAGCAGGTGGTCCTGCAGCAGATGGGGCGGCAGCAGCAGGAGCCACAGCCACTGCTGCCCCCACCACAGCAGGAGCTGCAGCAGCTGGGGCGGCAGCAGGTGGTCCTGCAGCAGGTGGTCTGGCAGCACCTGGGCTGGCAGCAGTCACAGCCCTGGCCAGAGCAGCAGGAGCCACAAGAGGAGTTGCACATGGTGTCAGAGACTGGAGGTTCTGGGGGTGTTTCCAGGAAGGTGGGTTTGGAAGGTTTGGAAGTTTGTTGGTCCTATATCCCCTTTTATACCCTGCTAAGGGGCAGCTGTATTCACCTGTAACATCCCTTTCCTTGTTACAGCTTTTTTTTTAAGTGATTATCAAATTAAACAAGATTGATTTCCTCATTAAATTTTCAAGATGCATTGAAAACATGATTTCCTTTTTCTGATTCATCTATCGGCTCTTCCAAAACTTTCTTTCTACAGCTTCTTCAACCACAGGTGTCATATGACATTCTGCCCCCTGGTCTTGTATGCTTCGTTCTCATTTTGTCTAGTATAGCATGACTACTCTTGGGTGATAATGATTCATATAGGCCCATAGTTCTTTCTGGTGATCCAAGAGGGTAACTTATGCTTGAGTTGGATGGTTCATTCATTAAAGGTCTGATGATCCAAGACTTGAATGTGAAACGCAGATCATTTGCTCAAATTCAAGTCCATTTGGACACATCCCCTTCTCTACTGTAATCATAATCCATTTTCTAGACATTTTATGGGCATCCTGAACTGTTTCAAGGTGTAAAAGCAAAGGATAAAATTTTATTTTATTTTTCCACCAGAAACAAACCTGGAAATCATTTTTAGGGCCTCTTTGGGGATGTTGGCTGCAGAGCTTAGCTATGCCGTAATGTATTGGGGGTATATTTTCCTTCTGTCTTTGACCACCTCTCTTTTTGATACATATCCACAATTTCTAATATTTACCTGCCCAACCAAGCGGGATGACCCAGTGTTACTGCCTTGCTATGGTTTAGATATAAGGTGTCCCCCCCACCCCCGCAAAGCTCATGTGTGAGACAATGCAAGAAAGTTCAGAGGTAAAATGACTGAGTTATGAAAGTCTTAACGTGATCTGTGCATCAGTCCACTTGAATGGGTGAATTAAATGGGTGGTAACTAAAGGCAGGTAGGTTTTGGTTGGAGGAGACAGGTCACTAAGCTTGTGCCTTGGGGCTTATATTTTGTCCTTGTTCTGTGGATCTCTCTCTCTCTCTCTCTCTCTCTCTCTCTCTCTCTCTCTCCTTCCTGGTGCCATGCCCTGAGCTGCTTTCCTCTGCCACACCCTTCTGCTCTGATGTCCTGCCTCACCTGGGCCCCAAGGAATGGAGTCACTGAGACTTCTGAAACTGTGAACCCCAAATAAACTTTTCCTTCTCTAAAACTGTTCTTATTGGGTCTTTTGGTCACAGCATCAAGAAAGTTCAAATAAAACATGCCTTTTACTCTCATTTACATCCCACCTGACTGCTCCAGGCTCAGTCAATGAACCCTGTAGACTGAGCCCCTGCTTCATTTTTCACGTGGTTGATTAGACCATGTCACTCTTTAGGTATTTTATTTTACTGGGGGGGGGGGCGGGTACTAGGGATTGAATCCAGACATGCTTTACCACTGAGTCACATCCCCAGCCCTTTTTATTTTTTTGAGATAAGGCCTCAAACTTGTGATCCTCCTGCCTTGGCATCCTGATCTGCTGGAATTTAAGTCTTTATTCAAAGCAAAACAAAACAAAACAAAAACAACGATAGAGAGCAGTTACCTAGATCAAAGGACATGAGCTCATTGGTTGGAGCGGAGACAGAGTGAAGGGTTCAAGGCAGCATGTGGACAGTAGTGCTAAGCCTGCAGCAGCTGGACACAGCTGGGCAGCTGCAGCAAACATGCCTGTGTCATTGGCTAAGTGACTAATATTTCAAAAATGAACGGTGTTTTTCACCTGTCAGCTGGTCCCCTGTGGGACCAGACAGAGACTCATCCATAACCCTGTGAATCCTGAAATGTCTTAATTAAGAGCATTTAAAAGCAGAAAACCTTGTAACATTTAAATCACATTAACTTATTAGCAAACACTTGATTGACTTGGTCCTATTTTATAGACTTGTGTCTGTAAAGCTAAAGAACATGAAAGATTTAAACAATTTTATGTCTAGACTGGGGAGATTTTCACTGGATTTGTTGAAGCGAGAGAGAGAGAGAGAGAGAGAGAGAGAGAGAGAGAGAGAGGGGGGAGAGAGAGAGAGAAGGGGGGAGAGAGAGAGAGAGAAGGGGGAGAGAGAGAGAGAGAGAAGGGGGAGAGAGAGAGAAGGGGAGAGAGAGAGAGAGAGAGAGAGAGAGAGAGAGAGAGAGAGAGAGAGAGAGTGTTTGTATTGTTAGGGGAGAGCTTTCTATATAAACTTGGAGAGGCTAAGAAACATTTCACTACAGCTAAAAAAGACAGAGTCCATTCTCATTACAGACCACTCTCTTTCTGTAGATAATCTGCTGCCCCATGCAGAACAACTCTGATTTAATTGCTCTGGGGCAGGGCAGGGTCTGGGCATCGGAAGTTTTCATGCTCCTCGGGTTCTCCTGATGGGTGGCAAAGCTTGAGGTCCAGCTCCTTAAATTGTATCAGATGCATTTGTACCAAATTCAATTGAGAAGTTGCAAGGATAATTAAATTTCAACTGATATTACATAAATAATAGAGCAAATGATCCTGAATTGGAAACACTGAACTTTGAGCAATTCAGACTGAAATGCTGATTATTCTCTTCACTATTTTAGATTACTCTAATACCAAAACCAACAGACTCACATGGATGGGAATGAACCAATTAACATGGATGAAGCAGGAAGCACATGGGAAGTTACTATAGATAGCACCTTGGATTTTTCTTAGAAGGAAGTTTAAAGCAAATGAGACATCATTCTGTGTACTCCTTGCTAAATTTTGGATGGAGTCAAAGCTCAAAGGGGACAAAACTGTCATTGTTGATGACCAGGTGATTGCTGTTCTTAAAATTGAGGAACACTATTACCAATCAGATGGTCCTCTGTGTGTCAAGAAACAGAGACTAGTGGGTATCTCTGTGACGGCATTTCAATGTATCTTCATTATGTCTAAATTCAGTCCTTTAAGGAATAAGCCCCTTGACATATTTTCGTCATGTTAGCTTGCGTGGCAAACACCTGTTTTACTGAGTTTTATTTTCAAGGCACGTGTTGGTAACATGGAGAATATGACCTAGATAAATAAATATCTTTTCTGAATGTGGAGATATTTCTGTGAAAGATAGAGTGCAAGAAGAAAAAAATAGAAGTTTGGCTTTTTGATTTCTAGAAGAAATAATTTAGTATAAATTCAGGAGCTATCAGTACTCTTTTGCACAGCTATAAAAGCCAGAGTGTATTACCATCATGGGCCAGTGAATGTGAGAGCCCGGCACCAGTGGTTCTCCAGTAGGCTACTTCAGGAGTGACCTGGGGAGTGTTCTGAACCGCCAATGGCTGGCTCCTGCCCAGAACAATTTTGATTTAATTGCTCTGAGGAAGGGTCTGGGCATCACAAGTTTTTCATGTTCCTCATTTTATCCTTTAGGATGCAAAGCTGAGACCTTCCCCATTAAAATGTCCCCATGACATGCATTTGTGTCGATTTTAGTTAATCACAGAAGTCCCCCAAATCAATAAGTTTTAATTGATGGCATCTAAGTTACAGAGTTACTGATCCTGACATTGAACCACTGAAGTTTGAGCAATGGGGACTTAAAAATTGCATATTTTAAGATAATTTTTATGCCAAAGAAAGAGACTCACATGAATGAGCGTGGACTATTAGGGCACCAAGCACAAAGGGAAATCACTGTAGACAGCACCCTGCACTGGGAAGAAGGAAACTCAACTCAGGAGAGACATCACTCTGTTCACTCCTTGCTGAACTCTACCTGTGGTCTGGTGAAATTTAATGGTTAAATACTATCTGGATCATATTCAGAGATTACTGATGGTCTACAAAAAGTTCTCTTCTTTTATGAGAAGAAGTCATAAACAGAGTGTAATGTTTTCCCTCTAAACAGTTTTCTTTGACTTTTTATAATGCCACAAGATAAAATAATCCAGATATCTAAACACCAAAGAAATTTGAATGAAGAAACACATTGATATTAATGTGAAAATTGTATTATCTATCTATCTATCTACTATCTATCTTGCTATGATAAGTAGCAGGCTAGTATCCACATGCCCAAAACTCAAGTCCAGAAAGAGAAACTGAGCATCATCAAGAGCTCTTGTATGTTTTTTGTTTTTTTTAATTTATCTTGTCCCCCTCCCTCCACCATGGAGAATCACTCTCCTGATTTTTAATGTAGTCTTATCATTGTTGTTTTTTTTTTGTACTTCATTCACCTACATGTTATAGATTTCTAAACTCTAACAGTTCAGTTATATATGCCCTTGAATTTTATTTAAATAGAATTACCATATACACCAGTATTTATTTATTTTGATTAGTTATACATGACAGCAGAATTCATTTCAACTCATTTTGCACAAATGGAGCACAACTTCTCAATTATCTGGCTGTACACAGTGCAGAGTCACACCATTCATACAATCTTACATGTAGATAGGGTAATAATGTCCATCTCATTACACCATCTTTCCACCCCCACACTCCTCCACACCCCTCTCTCCCCTCTGCAAAATCCAAGTTTCTCCCTTCTTCTCTAGCCCCCCACCACCACCATTATGGATCAGCATTGCATATCAGAGGAAACATTTAGCCTTTGGTTTTTTGTATTGCCTTATTTCACTTAGCATGATATTCTCTAACTCCATCCATTTACCTGCAAATGCCATAATTTCATTCTTCTTTAAGACTGAATAATATTCCATTGTGTATATATACCACATTTTCTTTATCCATTCATTTGTTGAAGGGCATAAAAGGTTGGATCCATAGTTCAGTTATTGTGAATTGTGCCGCTGTAAACATTGATGTGGCTACATCACTGTAGTATGCTGATTTTAAGTCCTTTGGGTATAAACTGAGGATGGTTGGGTCAAATAGTGGTTCTATTCCAAGTTTTCTAAGGAATCTCTGTACTGCTTTCCATAGTGGTTGCACCAATTTGCAGTCCCACCAGCAATGTATGAGTGTATGTTTTCCTCCACATCCTCACCAACACTCATTGTTAATTAGAAACTATTTTGAAAATTTATACTCCAATAAAATAGAAAATCTTAAAGACATTGACGCATTTCTAGAGATATATGATCTGCCCAAACTGAATCAGGAAGACATACATAATTTAAACCTATCAATTTCAAGCAATTCAATAGAAAACACCATCAAAAGCCTACCATCCAAGAAAAGACCAGGACCAGATGGATTCTTAGTCAAGTTCTACAAGATTGTCAATGAACAACTAACACCAATACTCTTCAAATTATTCTATGAAATAAAAAGAAGAGAACCCTATCAAACTCAATCTATGTGGCTGGTATCACCCTGATATCTAAACCAGACAAAGACACATCAAGGAAAGAAAACTTCAGACCAATGTCTCTGATGAACATAGATGCAAAAATTCTCAATAAAATTCTCCCAAATTGCATACAAAAAGATATTAAAAAGATAGTGCACCAGGATTAAGTAGGGTTCATCCCAGGGATGCAAGTTTGGCTCAACATAAAAAAATCAATGAACATAGTTCATGACATCAATAGACTAAAAAATAAGAATTATATGATCATCTCAATAGGTGCTGAAAAAGCTTTTGACAAAAATACAGCACCTCTGTATGTTTAAAGCACTAGAAAAACTAGGGATAGTAAGAACATACCTCAACATAGTAAAAACTATCTATACTAAGCCCAAGGCCAATATCATTCTAAAAGGAGGCAAATTGAATGTATTCCTCTAAAAACTGGAAGAAGACAGTGATGCCCTCTTTCACCACTTCTATTCAGCACAATCCTGGAAGTTCTAGCCAGAAAAATTAGACAAAAGAAATTAAGAAATTAAAGGGATATAAATTGAAAAAGAAGAATTCAGACTATCCTTATTTGCTGATGACACGATTCTATACGTAGAGGATCCAAAAATTCCACCAGAAAACTTCTAGCGCTAACAAATGAATTCAGCAAAGTAGCAGGCTATAAAATCAACACCCACATATCAAATGCATTTCTGTACATCAGTGATGAATACTCTGAAGAGAAGTTAGGAAAACTACTCCATTCTTAATAGCCTCAAAAATAGTAAAATACTTAGGAATCAATGTAACAAAGGAGATGAAAGACCTCTACAATGAAAACTACAGAGAACTAAAGAAAGAAATAGAAGAACTTAGAAGATGGAAAGATCCCCCATGTTTTTGAATAGGCAGAATTAATATTGTCAAAATTGCCATACTACCAAAAGTGTTATACAGTGTTATACAGATTTAATGAAATTCCTATTAAAAATCCCATTGTCATTCTTCATAGAATTAGAAAAAGCATCATAAATTTACTTTGGAAAATTAGGAGACCCAGAATATCCATAGTGATCCTTAGCAAGAAGAGTGAAGCAAGAGGCATCAACATATCAGACCTTATACTATACTACAGAGCTATAGTAACACAACCAGCATGATATTGACACCAAAATGCACATATTGAACATTGGTACAGAATAGAAGACACAGAGACAAACCTACATAAATACAGTTATCTCATACTAGACGATGGTGCGGAAAACATACACGGGAAAAAACGATAGCCTCTTCAACAAATGGTGCTGGAAAAACTGGAAATCCCTATGCAGCAAAATGAAATTAAACCCCTATCTCTCACCTTGCACGAAACTCAACAGTGGATCAAAGACCTAGGCACTAGACTGGAGACCTTGTGCCTAATAGAAGTAAAAGTAGGCTCAAATCTTTAAAATGTCAGTTTAGGACCTGACTTCTTCATATGACTCCTAAATTGCAAGAAATAAAATCAAGAATCAATAAATGGGATGGATTCAAACTAAAAAGGTCTCCTCAGCAAAAGAAACAATCAATAATGTGAAGAGAGAGACTACAGAATGGGAGAAAATCTTTACCACATGCACATCAGATAGAGCACTAATCTATAGGATATATTAAAGAACTAAAAAAACATAACAGCCCTGAACAGATCCTTCACGGAAGAAGAATTACAATGGATCAACAAATATATGAAAAAAGTGTTCAACATTTCCAGCAATTAGAGAAATGCATGCTAAAACTACTCTAATATTTCATCTCACTCCAGTCAAAATGGCAATTATCAGGAATAAAACAGCAAAAATAAGTATACACTTTTATATTTCCATTTTTTTTACTCAATACTCTGGAAAAGCTGAGAATAGCAGTGTGTAGGTGGCCTCAACTTTCTCTAATTCCTGGTGTCCATTGTTACTGTGCCATGAATATGGACAGTACCTCTTGTGCTTGTGGTCAGGGATAGCCTCACAGACTGACTGAACTGGGAGATGTCATGCACATTGAGAAGGTGAGTTTTCTTGGGATAATACTAGACCATGGAAACATGCCCTTCAAAGGGAATGGGGACCTCAGCACTTTCTCTCTTTTTCTTTCTAGTTGGTGAGGGGTGCAGTTTGATCTACACCAAGATTATTTCCTTTGCCACTCAGCAACCTCAGCAAACAACCACAGAAAGGGGGCCACTTGGTCATGACTGTAACCTCCAGATGGTGAAAAACAAAAGCATGCTTTCCGTAAGTGCATTATCTCAGTTATTCCAACTGATCAGTATGAAAGGAATAATAAAGTAATTTATATCATTGTTTCACCTTTGAGAACTTCCTTTGAACCAATAGCATATGGCAACCTTCAGCACATAAATTAGAAATTCAGACTTTCCTGTAGGTAACTAACCTTACTTTGCAGGCTCTTATTCTGTCACTGGCTAAGACAAATCCAGCTACAGTGTCACAGGAACACATTAGGGAAAGAGCTGGGGACAACCTGCATTCAACAGCAAACAAGCCCTGAGGCCCATCACTCAGAGCAGAGGATGGAAGACATCAGCGGTGAGAGGTACCAATCAGGTATTGACCCCTGACCCTCATATCCAGTGATAGAGTGATATATCCAGTCATATCTTGAGGAAACTATGAGGAGATTGGTAGGAAATAACAATTTGTTAAGAAGATTTGCCAGTTTGATAGAGGGTCAAAAAGGTTGACCCTGACAACACAGAGAACTTCCATCGTGATGGCAAAGCTGTTGAAGGATCCCAACACAGAGAATGGGACTATAGGGATCTAAGCCTCGGTTGCCTTGAGAAGTTTCTAATAGAAATGATTTAGGATTCAGAAATTTGGAAATGATCACAGGGAGCCTTGCAGGGAATGTGCAAAGTGACCCACAGAACAGAAGGCAGAGACACTGAGCAGCACAGCACTGGGTCATAGGAGGTCCAGTCCCACAGAGGACCTATGGGGACTGGAAGGACCACCCGGGGAACATTGAGCTGGAGCTTCTGTGCACCCACCCCCAGTCACTGGGTGAGCTCTGCTCCTGGACCCTTAAACCCTCCTGCCCAGAGGTCGCTCTTCATCCAGAGAAAGTCCTCAGGCAGGAAGGTCCAGGGGCTTGCTTTCCAAACCCATTTTGGGCACTAAAAGGACAAATGCTCACAGAGCAGAGGAGGAGCATCTCAGATGGAATGTTATGGCTTTTAAATCTTGATAGATGTCCTAACCCCCCACCCCCCAAAAAAATCAGAGTAGCACAGCAACTCAAAAGGGAGAAAGAAAGAGACATGAGGCCATTATGGGTGTTGTATATTTATTGAAGATGCAGGTCTATGTCCACATGAGACAGCAAGTCAGAGAGCAATAATATCCAAAGGGGTAAGATGAGAGTAGAGGGAGGCTGACATTGGTCAGGGACTGAGCAGGCAGTGGGGGAGGGGAGTGTCCCATTGCTCCATCCTGTGGGGGCTGAGAGATGAGGCCTTGGAGGACACTGGTTGAAGAACAGAGATAAGGTCAGATCTCAGCAGCAGGAACCACTAGAGCAGACTGGGAGCATCAGGTGGACTGGAGACAAACAGGGGGGCAGCAGCTGGAAGCCCAGCAAGTGAGGGCAGCTCTGGGATGTGCAGCAGGGGTTCTGGCAGCTTCTGGGGCTGCAGCAGGAGGGCCTGCAGGAGCTGACATGTAGCCCCTGGGGTGGCTGGGAAAAAGGGGGCCGGCAGCTCAGACTGTCAGCACATAGGGCGCATCAACAGGAGCCACAGAAGTTGGGGGGGCAGCAGGTGGTCCTACAGCAGATGGGGCGGCAGCAGCAAGGGTGGCAGCAAGTGGAGACACAGCAGCAGGGGCGACAGCAGCAGGAGCCACAGCCACTGGAGCCACAGCCACTGGAGCCACCACAGCAGGACCCACAGCAGCTGGGGCGGCAGCAGGTGGTCCTGCAGCAAGTGGTCTGGAGGCAGGTGGGGCGGCAGCAGCAGGAGCCACAGCCACTAGAACCTCCACAGTCACTGGAGCCACCACAGCATGGGCTGCAGCAGCTGGAGCCACAGCAGCTGGGGCGGCAGCAGGTGGTCCTGCAGCAGGTGGTCCTACAGCAAATGGGCTGGCAGCAGCAGGAGCCACAGCCACTGGAGCCACAGCCACTGGAACCACCACAGCAGGACTCACAGCAGCTGGGGCGGCAGCAGGTGGTCCTGCAGCACGTGGTCTGGAGGCAGGTGGGGCAGCAGCAGCTGGAGCCACTGGAACCACCACAGCAGGGGCTGCAGCAGCTGGAGCTACAGCAGCTGGGGCGGCAGCAGGTGGTCCTGCAGCAGGTGGTCTGGCAGCACCTGGGCTGGCAGCAGCCACAGCCCTGGCCAGAGCAGCAGGAGCCACAAGAGGAGTTGCACATGGTGACAGAGACTGGAGGTTCTGGGGTGTTTCCAGGAAGGTGGGTTTCAAAGGTTTGGAGGACTCTCTGACCCAGTCCCCTTTTATACCCTGCTAAGGGGCTGCTGACGTCATATGCAACACTCTTTCCTTGTTATTGTTTGTATTAGTAAATAGGCAATTATCAAATTAGGCCTGTTTAGTTTTGTTTAAATATTCAGGTTGATTGGGAAACATGACTTCCCTTCCCTGCTGTGTTAGGTGTCATTGGTTAGGTCTTCCTGAGTCACCTCTCAAGGGTCTTTTTAGCTATCCTTCCTCACAGAGAGGGTGTCATGTGACATTCTGCCTCTGTCTGGTGGGCTTCAGAGGAGTGTATGCTGTAAGTCATGTCTGCCCTTGGAAAAGATCCACTTCTGTGTCCCTTATTTCTTTCTGGGGACCCAAAGGTAAAAAGCTGTATTTTCATCTCCTGGCTCCTTCATTATGCATCTGGTGGACAAACAAGGTTTGAGTGTGCAACAGAGACCCTTGTCTTGGGAGCAGGAAGGGCATTAGCACACTTCCCCATTCCTCACTGAAGCATTCCCTCTGCTGTGGAGCTCTTCACAGGAGACACAGACCTTTAGTGAGTGCAAATACACATAGTGAACCTTGGATGACTTGATTTCCCCAGAAACATATCGCCAGCATGGTTTTTAGGGGGTCCTATGAGGAGATGTGGCTGCAGAGATAAAATCAGCATCACCAGGAGGTTCAGATCCCTCAACACTCTACTTGCTTGAGAATTGTTTCCTTCTGCCTCTGTCTTCCTGTCTTTGTGGTTGGGTCAGGCCATATTGACTCATGTCTTGGGTTTCCTGAACACCCTTGTCCATCCATATATGAACCTTAAGGAAATCTTCCGCTTATACAACTTATAACCTGCCACCTTGGTGTACCCTGGTGTCACTGAACTCTCTAGATAAACTGCACTCTCTTTTGTTTTTATTGAGGTCATTGATCCGATTTTAATGATTAGGTCTTATTGTTGAACAAACACACAGAAAGAAGGCAGAAAAGGAAATGGGTGTCTCTAGGATACCAGATGACATATATTCCTAGGGAAATGAAGTCAAAGCTGAAAGAGGATAAAACTGTGATTGTTAATGGTCAGGTGACTGTTGTTCTTTGCAATGAGGAATACTGTTACCCTTAGTTGGTTCTCTGTGTGTCAAGAAAGTGATTCACAGAGACTAGGGGTAGCTCTGTGATGGCATTCTGATATGTCTTCAATATGTCTTAATTCAATCCTTTAAAGAATAAGTCCCTGGACCTATTTTTGACATGTTAGCTTGTGTGGCAAACCTATTTTACTGGGTCTTATTTTTAAGGCATGTGTTGGTAAAACTGGAGAATGTGATGTAGGTAAATAAACATATTTTCTGAGCATGGAGATATTTCATGGATTTCTTGCACAAGAAAGACAAAGTGCACAAAAAAGAAATAAAAGTTTGGCTTTTTGATATCTAGAAGAAATAATTTAGTGTAAGTTTAGGAGCTATGACAGTACTCTTTTGACCAGCTATAAAAGCCAGAGTGTATTGCCATCATGGGCCAGTGAATGTGAGAGCCCGGCACCAGTGGTTCTCCAGTAGGCTACTACAGGAGTCACCGGGGAGTGTTCCAAACACCCAATGGCTGGCTCCTGCCCAGAACGATTTTGATTAAATTGCTCTGTGGAAGGGTCTGGACATCACAAGTTTTTCATGTTCCTCACTTTATCCTTGTAGGATGCAAAGTTGAGACCCTCCTCATTAAATTGTCCCCATTACATGCATTTGTGTCAATTTTAGTTAAGCACAGAAGTCACCAAAATCAATAAGTTTTAATTGATGGCATCTAAGTAACAGAGTTACTGATGCTGACATTGGAACACTAAAATTTGAGCAATGGGGACTTAAAAATTGCATATTCTTCTTTAGTGTTTTAGATAATTCTTATGCCAAACCAACACGCTCACATGGATGAGCATGGACCACTAGGGCAACAAGCACAAAGAGAAGTCACTGTAGACAGTGCCCTGCACTGTGAAGAAGGAAACTCAACTCTGGAGAGACATCACTCTGTGCACTCCTTGCTGAACTCTACCTGGGGTCTGGTGAAATTTAATGGATAATTACTATCTGGATCATATTCAGAGATTACTGATGGTCTACAAAAAGTTCACTTCTTTTATGAGAAGGAGTCATAAACAGAGTTTAATGTTTTCCCTCTAAACAGTTTTCTTTTTATTTCAAATGCCACAGTATAAAATAATCCAGATAATTAAACACTGGAGAAATTTGAATGAGGTAGACACAATTGACATTTGCAAGCTCCACCTAGGAATTAGGTTATGTCTGTGAGCAGTCTGGACACATCATGCTAGTATATCTGTTAGAGAATGGCATACAAGACTGAATTTGTTTTCAGGTGTCCTTATATGGTGTAAATGCAAAAGAGGTTTCAAACTTATACAACCTAGGTATTATTTCCAAAGTTACTATGTACTGTGATTACTTGAATCACAGTTTGTTAGTAAGAGCATCACAATGTGTTACATATGTAGTGATTGTGATAAAAGCCTTTCACCAGTGGGACCAAAATACATGATGAGAATACCTTAATGAGGAAGATTTATGTTGGTTTTATGATACCAGATGATCAGTACATGTTGAGCAGATGCCATAGCTAGGACTTTGTGGGCCCAAGACATGCAGAACACATGGCAGAAGTGCATGGTTAATGTGCCTTACTTTGCTCCGTTACTTGCAGCCAGGAAGCAAAGAGATGTAAGGAGCTACAGGGAAGAGGCACCTTCTGTGCCACCCCCTCTGAACCATCTCCCCCAGCCATGCTACAGCTGCCTGCAGTTATCACTCAGTCATTTGAAACTAGGATGGATTCCTTGGGTTTCACCCCTCACAATCTGATTATTTCACCTGTGAACAATTGTACCTCAACACAGCAGCTTTAGGGAGACACCTTATCAGTTGATATTCAATCATAACCATGCTCTAAATGGAAACCCCTACAATAACCATGTAGGTCAATGGGAAAATTAATGTACTTTTCATTCAACTTAGGTGCTTAACAATGAATATCCAGTTGCTTTCGAATATCTAAGAATGTGTATTAATCAGTATTACCATATTTGATATGAAGTGGTACATGTAATCAGAGCAATATTTTAAGTAATGAAAATGTCCACCTAGCATTGATTTAATTCATTTCTTATCTAAAATTGTTGTTTTAATGTTTGAAGGAATATTTCAGTTCAGCTGACTTCTTAAGAACACTTTCTTATTGGTCCCAAAGGCAATGCCTGCATACGCTGAGAAGGCTGAGGAAATAGGATCAAAGGGTGAGGTCAGCCTGAACATGATACAGAGACTCTATATCAAAATAAAAATATATGCATACAAGCTATACAAATATATATATTTTGTACACAAATATTTATATCTTGTACACTTTTATGCATGTATGCATATAGATAGATAGATAGATATAGATATATAGATATGTATATGGTCATAAATAATTACCAGGCTAATAATAACCAATGCCCCCACCTCAATTCTAAGAAGAGGAAGTTGGCAACACCATGACTCTTGCTTATCTTTTCTTGATGTCATCTCCCTCGATAACCCAAGGACAATCATCATACTGATTTTGAAAATATCTCATCATTGTTTTTCTGTGTACTTTGTCCACCTACATATATATTTCTAAACTGTACACTTTAGTTATACATGCTTTTGCATTTTGTATGAATAGAATCACCGTATACGTCTTATATTTCTATTGCATGGCTCAATACTCTGCACTAGCTGGGATGAGCAGCCGCCAGGTGGCCCCACCTTTTTCTACATCTTTGATGTTCATAGTTACTGTGCCTCACATACGAATATTGCCTCACATACTTATGGTCAAGGATGGCCTCCCAGACTGACTGAATTGGGCAATGCTATGGACTTTGAAAGGCTGAGGTCTCCTGAAAGCAATTAAGCCATGGAAGCATGCCTTCCAATGGAATTGGGGAAAAACAGCCCTTTCTGTGTTTTTTAGGTGGTGACGGGGGCAGTTTGCTCTATGACAAGCTTCTTGCCTTTGCCACACAGCAACCGCAGCAAAGACCCACAGAAATAGTGCCACTTGATCGTAACTGGATATAAAGCTGCCTTTTGTAAGTGCATTGCCTCAGTTATTTCATTTCATTAATGTAAAGGGAGTAATAAAGTAGTTTATGTAATTGCCTCGCCTTTGAGAATTTCCTTCTAACCAATAATGTCGAGACCCATGACTAAACACTCGGGGTCACTCCAGGTGAACTGGGCTGCACAAAATAATCACACAGAGACACAGAAATACCTTTTTCTTTGGGTCCTGTAATGGCTCCTCTGACCTTAGGGGTCCCTGGAAAGAGAGTGAGGAGCACATCCTGAACCCTTTTATTGGGGAGAAGCCATTCAAATGAGGCAAGGGTGCCACAGTCTGGCTGGGCACAAAATAACCGAGCCGCCATGAGGCACTTGTAGGTTCAAAACAGGAATTCTCCTGAACGCCACCCACGCGGCCCTTTCGGGAACACCACCAACCGGAAATCCCTTCTCTGGAACTTCCCCAACCAACAGGAACTCCCTAGGCATCCCCTGAGAACTCCAAAGTAGGGGGCACCCCAGGGGGACAGCAGGGGTCTAATATACAATTGAATACACAGCTTAACATATCCATCATCATCTCAATGGCTCGCTGGCATCATCTCTCAACCACTCCCTTCTGGCAAAAATGCCATGTGTCCTTCTCACTCTGCTGTGGCTCTCAGCACAAGGGGTCAGGTTTCAGGGAGTTGAGTCCAGCTTCTGCTGCCAACAGATTGACTGACATCTAGGAAGGCCATGCCCATCTCATGAACTGTGTGGGGATCATGGCAGAGCAAGTGAAAAGACCAGAGCAAGGCCCGCCCAAACAGAGGGACAACGTGGGTTCAGTCCACCCTGTGTGCTCAGTGCTCATCGTCCACACACACACAGCCCA